TGCCATCTAAAAACTTGTATATTATTTTTTGTTTATAAATCATTCAATATTTGTTATAATATTACACAATTACGCATTGACTATGTCGTCACAAAAACGACTTTCCGGGTTTGAATATAAAAAAATACGAGAAAATAAACAGAATTTTATTAACACACAAGCAGGGAGTTTTACTAAATTTTTATTGCAAAAACCTGTAGATGAAATTAAACTACTGAATGATGATTGTTCACAAACTAAAACTAATTCTGATATACCTACAACCCAACAGAGTTCGGACATACAATTAAATAACAATTTAAACTGTTCACAATCCACTTCTTATGAAATACCAGATAAAGCTTTGCCGCGGGTAGAAGTTGATTTATTTTCTGATTCTGATAAAGATTCTATTAATTCAGATAAATTTAATTATGAAGAAATTAACATTACTTCGGAAAATGACGAATTGGAAACAAATAGTGTTGAACATTCAGATGACCCAAGTGACTGGCCACTAAAATTAACCGACTCAATTCGAATATCACTTATAAAAAAAGGGCCTGTGCAAATTAAAAATTATTCTTTTCCGAAAAACCAATTAAATAGGAAATTTTCTGATGCTTATTATCAACGAATTTTGAATAATGGAGAAAAAATAGAAAGATCCTGGTTGGTTTATTCAAAAAAAAATGATGCTGTGTACTGTTTCTGTTGTATGTTGTTTAGTTTTAAAAAAGATTCAGGTATGGTCTCTGAATGTGGATATAACGATTGGCGTAATTTAACAGGCCATTTAAAAATTCACGAAACCTCAAAAACACACATTCTTCATTTTTCAACTTGGCACGAAATGGTTATAAAATTAAAATTAAATCAAACTATTGATTCTCATAATCAACGTAAAATAGAATCTGAAATAAAACATTGGAGGTCTGTTTTAGTTCGGTTATGCGCTATATTACGTTGCATGGCTGCGCAAAATCTTTCAATCCGTGGAACATCATCTACAATAAATTCACCACATAATGGCAATTTTTTGAAAATTATTGAATTATTTTCGTTGTTTGATAATGTTTTAAAAGATCACGTAGAAAGGATTCAAAATAAACAATTACATGTACATTATTTAGGTCCTCAAATTCAAAATGAATTAATTAATTTAATGAGTGAAAAAGTAAAAAATAATATTTTAAGCAAAGTGAGAGCTGCGAAGTATTATTCCATTATTTTAGACTGCACACCTGACTGTAGTCATAAGGAACAAATGTCCATAATATTGAGATATGTTTGTATTAAGACAGGAGTTTTACATGAGCATTTTATTGGATTTATTGAAGTTTTTGATAAAACCGGGACTGGATTAAGTGACCGGATAATTAAAATGCTTTCTGATTTGGAAATAAACATAAATGATATGCGTGGCCAAAGTTATGATAATGGCTCCAATATGAAAGGAAAACATAACGGAGTTCAAAAACGCATACTTGACATAAACCCGCGGGCATTTTATGTACCATGTAATTCTCATTCGTTGAACTTAGTAGTTAATGATGCAGCAAAATGTAATATTTACACAGTCTCATTTTTTAATATAGTGCAACAACTTTATGTATTTTTTTCGGCATCTACTGAGAGATGGAAAATTTTGATTCAATTTTTACCTAAATTAACATTGAAGAAAGTTTGCGACACGCGTTGGGAGTCGAGAATAAATGCGATAAGGCCCATAAGATATCAATTTGAAGAGCTTTGTAATGCCCTAAAACATATTAAGAATGATGTAAACTTAGATGAAATGAATGGTCTTCATACAAAAGCAGATGCATACGCTCTTTTAAAAAATATATGTGATTTTAAATTTATATGTTCTATTATTATTTGGTATGAAATATTAAGTATTGTTAATCTTGTCAACAAGCAACTGCAGTCAATCAATTTTGATATACAAATTTCTGTTAATAGTATATCATAAATCATTGAATTTTCAAAAGAATATCGAAAAAATGGGTTTTCTAAAGTAAAATTAATTGCTTAAGAAATTGCGTCAGCCATTGGAATATTAGAAGAATTTCCTCAAGATTATCAAGTGCGCAAAAGATTGAAGAAAACCAAGATAATGTTCCTCTTCATAACCCGGAAAAAAAATTTGAAGTAGAGTTTTACAATACTATAATTGATACGGCTATCAATTCTCTGCAAGATAGATTTCTCCAGTTAGATAATCATTGTTCTAACTTTGGTTTCATGTATAATATAAATTCTTTAAAATCTTGGGAGCATGAAACCATACTAAAACATTGTAAAGATTTAGGGATTTTACTATCATCAAATGATACAGCAGATATTGATGTCATCGAATTATTTGAAGAACTAAAATTATTTTGTCGACTTACAGAATCAAGTAGTTCAGCAAGTAAAAATCTTGAGTACATTTATAATAATCAACTCCAGGAAATATATCCTAATATTGAAATCAGTTTAAGAATCATTCTTACAATTCCAGTGACAGTAGCGTCTGCTGAGAGAAGTTTTTCGAAACTGAAACTTATAAAATATCATTTAAGATCAACAATGAGTAATGAGCGTTTGACTGGATTATCAATTTTATCCATTGAAGCAGAGTTGGCACAAGAATTAAATTTAGAAAATTTAGTGCAAGATTTTGCAACAAAAAAAACAAGAAAAATTAATTTTTAATTTTGAAATATTATTTTAAAACTTCAAATTTGATCATCATTTTATGTTTATTTCCAGGTTTGATTTTTTATTTATATAAAACACATTATGTATGAAGAACACTTGTATATTATTTTTTTTTCTTAAAGGTATATAAAATATATATTTATGGTTTTGACTTTTGTCAAATTAAAATATTTTTAATCAACACATTTATAAACATTTTGTCATTTCAATATAACTTATGCACCTACTTGTTTAAATAAGTATTTTATGGGCTGTCCATAAATATCGTACGCCAAAAATAACTGAAATTTATCCCCCAATCCCTTTGATGGTAACAGTAAAGTGGCGTAGCCAGTATTTTTCAATGGGTGGGGGGTAAAAAAAACACATTACTTTTATTAGTAAATTGTTTATCAAATTTAAATAATAATATTTTATAATTAATATAATTTTATATTAATTCTACACAAATTATAGCCAATGGGAAGGCATTGCCCCAAAGCCCTCCTCTGGCTAGGCCGCTGTAAAGTATTACCCTCCCAACACTTGTTACCCAATTGTATTACCCAACCACCCCCTTTAAGGGCGGCATTAGATATTTTCGCTTTAGGGCGGAAAATATCTTGCGACGGGCCTGCTTACCAGGATAATTAAAGATAAGTGAAACACATTTATAATAAATGTATAATTATACCTTCACAGAACAATTTTAAATAATAAACAGTTAGAGTAAGATAGGTCATCTAAAATAAATAAATATTTGATATTCACAAATCATATAATTTATTATGTATATTTTTATATAGGAACCAAGTAATTCTTGGTCGAAAAACGCTTAACTTTAACAAGCAATAACAGAAGAAAAATTTATCTTAATATAACAAATATGAAAAGAATAAAAGTTCTTTAATTATTTTTTCTATCATATTGTTACTCTTAAAAACCTAGTAAATCCATATAGGTGTGTATAAATTTTCCATAATAAGGTAATCGTAAATAATAAGTTCTATCAAATTGTCATCATCTAATACTTCATATAATTGTACCTCATTTTTAAGATTTAAACTAAATAATAGGTTTCCATAATAGAAATTTAATTTTTTTTATTCCTAAAGGAAAGAAATAAAAATTATTTAACTACATTTTTTTAAGGCCTACATTACTTAGTCAGGTACGCGTCATCCAATAATTAATAATGTCGTGCTGAGTTATAAACATTTTGTAATCAAACTTATTAAACTTACCAACGCCTGGTGGACAACCGCCAGGTGGACAACCACCTCCTATATACAAGAAATTGATTTATATTTTCAATAAAAATCTTATTTCAACCTTACTTAAACATATAGTATGCGAATAAATGTTTTACTAATGTAATCAGCCTACATATCTCAGTCGGGTACATATCATGCTATAATACATCTTTACTAAGGCTCGATTTAGTTGTACTGAGCTATGTAGGTTATATAATAATATCATATATTTATAAGTTTTATATTTTTATTAATATAACTGATGTATACAGCTGCATGAAATATTAAACTTACCACCACCAAGTTGGATACCGCCTCCCATACCTTTATAGAAAAAATATATTTATATTACTCAGTCCGGCACGTATTGTGTAGTGCTTAGTTATGTAAGTTTTACCATTCATTCTCTTACGAAGGTTTTTATAGGAGATTTGAAATATAAAAATATATATGTATACATTTTTTTTAAAAAAATTAGCATCTGTGTAACATTTTATACATTATGTACTTTGAATCTATGCAACAAATTGGGGTCGGCTATATCCGATACAACCTCAATATGGCATGAAAGCCTTAATAGCTGTGTAATACATCTTTACTTATGAAATAAAGCTTACATTATATTCAAATGTTTATAAATATTTATGAGTTTTATATTATTATTAAAATAACTAATGTACACAATTGTATAAAATATTAAATTTACCACCGCCAAATGGAAAACCGGCTCCTATTAAAAACATATATATATTTTTTTTTTTTACATAAATAATCCTATTCCACTTATTAATACATATCATATGTCTAATGAAAATCACACAAAGTGGCCTACATTAATCAGTCTGGTACGTGTCGTCCTTTAATACATAGGCACTAAGGATTAATTGAAGAGTGAATGTGTCAAACGTTTTATGTGCCAAAAAAATATTTGTTCAGAAAACACAAAAAACATTACAAATTAAAAATTTTCTTATAATTTTGTATAAAAATATATGTTATGCTATATTTATACTATATTAGTAGCCTTGTAAATTTCTATTATTTTATTTTGTAGACGTGGCCGTTGAAATGATAGTTGAGAAAATTGTTTCTTAAAGACTTTTTTATAATATGCATAACTGACTTTGGAATCTGGATATTGATTTTTAAATGCGAAAAATAATCTGCTGTAATTTAAATCTGGATTTAAGTACTCTTTTTTAGATTTAGAACGACCATAGTGACTAGCATTTTTAGGAAAACTGTTATAATGATCAATGATTTGTTGTATATTTTCATTATTAAAACTTTTTCGTTTAGGATTATCTGACCGAGCATCTTTATAAACTGATAAACCTTGTTTTTTTTTTGATTGTAAAGTTTGCAGAAATCTATGTTTTACACCGAGAATATTTTGAAATGTGGTTTTGCATACTTGACTAACTCCTCCTTCATCATTTGGAATTGAATATTTTATTGTGCACTGTTTGTGACTGTGTGATGGATGCGAGTATTGACCATGACGACGTCTGTTTATTTCGGTAACCTGAATTAGTCCTAATATGTAGGTACCCTGTTCACTATCATTTGCTAAACGGTGGTAGTCATTAAACAATTTCAATTTCCAATCCCATGAAATATTTTTGCAGTCATATTTGCATTTACATGTCGGCTACAATGTATAATAAAAGTGATTTTATAACGTTTAATGAATAATTTTATTATATTATATTAATTAGGTACTAACCTCTAATAACGATGTCGGGATTTCCTGAATTGTATTATTGCTTTTCCTGTTCACATACGATTTTCTACTAATTCTTTTTTTAGTCTGATCATTTCTTCTTTTTTTACCATTTTGTAAAATATGTATATTTTCAGTATTCATAATAACACAATTAAACAAATGAAAAAGAAAACTTAACGAATACAATAACACCAGTATTAGTTATTTTGAAATATAACGAACTATATCATAATATTGTTATCATCAAACTATTATATTCGTCCAAGGCACTTAGAACGTACAGGTAACAATGGGCATGTCTCACAGAACAAATACAATCTATGAACGCAATTTTGTACAAGTAAAAAATTTAATTGACACTTGAAACACATACAAGATTGTGACCTTTGGCACATAGAACATAAATCAGAAATAAAACAATTTTTCACTTTTTTGGCACATAGAACGTTTGACACATTCACTCTTCAATTATGTCGTACAAAGTTAAAAATAGTTTGTAATCAAATCATATATTAAGAAATATATATATTTCAATTTTTTATTGAAATAACTAATGTAAAAACTGCATAAATTAATTAACTTATCAGCATCAGTTGGACAACCACCTCCTATTCACAATAAATGTACGGAACGTCAATATATATTTTACTAATGCAATCGACATATATATTTTAGCGAGGTACCCCATCGTGTTTAAATAGATAATTACCAAATCTCAATTTTTGTATACTGAGCTATGTAGTGTTTTTTTATTAAATTTTTATTAACTAATTTATACAACTGCATGAAATATTAAACTTACCACCACCAATTTGGATACGGCCTCCTCCTATACCTATAGGAAAAATATATATTTTATTTTACATAAATAATCCTATTCCAACTATTTAATCATATGACTAATGAAAATCATACCAAGATGCCTACATTATTCAGTCCATCGTTCTTTAATACATAGGTACTGTTGAATATATACCATCAATACCTCAAAGTCTCCCACCCCGGTGATCTAAGATGTCAACAGCCGGCTGGTAACTTATCGGTATTACTGGCTAGTCTGTCGGCTGTGTTCTCAAAGACAGTAAGTGACTGGTAATCACGTTTTTGTATTTAACAGTCATATATAATCATTATATACGCTTGATGTTAAGCGTATGGAATAGTCCATTTAAAATTACTTAATATTGCGTGAAATTATATTGGTCTATTTTCATTTCAATCAAAGAAATGATGTACATTTTACAAATTTAATTTACAAAAACTACTTGGATTGTTTGGTTTTTTGTTTGTCACCAATGGCCTTCATGATATTGGCAATATTAAGTTTATTGGTTGAATATGAGCGGCGATCGCCGGTGGTTAAGTCAATAGCAAATTGGCTTGTGAAATAATTATTTGTTTTTGAATAAAGATATTTGGATAATAGTTTATATGTAAAATTATAATGTATGTACAGGGACGTCCATTTAAGTGTAAAAGTTTAAGATTATAATTGTGAATATAATTTGCGGTTAACGACAATAGAAAATTGGCTATAGTCAATTGAATTTGTTAATTAATTTTTAGTTATACGATAAATTTATTGTAATCCCCTGGGAACATTGGTGGTAGATAGAACAAGTACCAAGTAGTATATTTATATATATTTATAAGTTTTATATTTTTATTAAAATAACTAACGTATATAACTACATAAAATATTAAAATTACCACCGCCAAATGGAAAACTGCCTGCTATTTAAAAAAAAAATATATTTATTTTTTACATCAATAAACCTATTCCAATTATTAAAACATAACGTATGTCTAATGATATCACACTAGGTGGCCTTTATTACTCAGTCTGGTACGTGTCGTCTTTTAATACATAGGTACCAAAGATTAATTATGTTGTGCCAAGTTAAATAAGTTTTTATCAAATCATATATTTAAAAATATTAATGTTTCATATTTTTACTAAAATAACTAAAGTAAAAACTGCATAATACAATTAACCTACCACCGCCAGTAGGACCAACGCCTGGTGGGCAACCGCCAGGTGGACAACCACCTCCTAAACACAAAAAATTGATTATATTTTCAACAAACAATCTTATTTAACCCTTACTTAATAAGTCAATAAATATTTTTTTAATTTAAGCGGCCTATTATATTAAAAACTATTAATTTTTTAATCTCAGTCGCGTACGCATCATGCTATAGTACATCATTACTAAGGCTCGATTTAGTTGTACTGAGCTATGTAGGATATATAATAATATCATATATTTATAAGTTTTATATTTTTATTAAAATAACTTATGTTTAAAACTGCATAAAATATTAAACTTACCATCGCCAAATGGAAAACCGCCTCTTCTACCTATAAAAAATTAATTTGTATTTTTACATAAATAATCTTATTTCTCCCGTACTTAAACATATGGAACGTTAGTAAATATTTTTATAATGTAATCGCCTTACATATCTCATTTGGGTACGGTTAAAATACATCATTATCAAGGCTCGATTTAGTTATACTGAGCTTGTAGGTTATATAAGCAAATCACTACGTCTTTTATTTTTATTAAAATAATTAATGTTAAAATAACTGCATAAAATATTAAACTTACCACCGCCTGGTGGACATCCGCCAGGTGGGCAACCGCTTCCTATAAACAACACAAATATTTATTTTAACAACTTAGTATGGAAATAACAAAAAATTATTTAAAAACCATAAAGATAATTGGATTACAAATATTTTAATTAGGAATTTTGGGACATTGTGTGACATAAAGAATTCATTTTGAAAATACCTAATAATAAAGGCCTTGTTCTACCCTATCTTAGTATTTTAAATTTTATGGACTCATCAGATAAAGTAGCCTAGAATAAAAGTGTGCACTTTTTTTCTATCATGTATATAGTTTGAGAATCACGATTAGTACAAATATTTGTTATAAACATTTTGTTTTATACTGGACAAACTATTAAAAAAAACAAATTAAGTATTATAAATTAGTTTAGAACTCTATTTAATGAGTAATGAACTGAATCAAATTGAAAAATAAAAGAGTACTCTTACTTCATTAATGAAATAAGAATACAGTTAGTATTGAATAAGTTTTAATGAACAAATAAATAAATTAATAAATAACTGTTTAAGCAGGTATTTTTTACTTAAAATAACGAATTAATCAGACATTTTATTGAATCAGAGTAATTTTGCAATTCAATGTCATAATAACTAATTATAATAGGCGAAATAAAGTTAGAGCCACTTAGGAATAGTTTTTTTTTTTAAATAATATTTTTCAACAAGTAAGACTACTACAAAATGATTTTAGTAAAAATTATTTGATTAATTATTCAAATTTAATAAAATTTTATTTAATCCTCATTTATTTTTAAAATAAGTATAAAATGTATTCTTTAGAGCAACGTTGGACTTTTACCCCAAATCAAAACTTCTTCATTAAATTACTTGACAAAATTTATATGCATATATAAAATTATGTTATTACTCAATAAAATATTCTATATCATCCAATAAAAAAAAATTCAAGTCTTAAAGAAAAATTATTTCATTAACTTAAATTAGTATTATTAACTATTACATAAAATTATAATAAAATTTTATAATTTTATAAATCTCTATGGTTTTATAACGTCTATAAAACCATGTAAAAATGGTTTAACATTTTATATTAATCAACCATTGTTTTGTTTAGTACAATTTTATAGTTTAAAACTATAAAGTTAATTCAATTATTTCAATATTGAACTTTTACCTTAGTTTAGTCAAAACAACAAAAAAGAAAAGAACAAAATAAATAAATACAATTTTTCGCTTTCTTGATAAGCCTCTTATCATCAGCAATATGAGTTCATAAACTTGAAGAGTAAGACTCCTGGTGACCATAAAAAATAACGTTAGGCTTACAAAAATTACACGTATAACGTCAGTGATCGAATGAAACAATTGAAATTAGTACTATTTCTTATACCCTAAACTCGTATCAACTTTCAATTTTCAAATAGCAATCCCGATTTTGTTTTGTACCATCACAATTATAAAAGAAAAATGTTCTTTTTTATTTGTTTTTCAACGATTTATAGATTTTTTTTAAGTTTAATAATACGTAAACTGTATAGAATAAAACAAGAAGAATATTTCCACGGCCTCTCTGTCAGTCGTATTGAGGTTGCATCAGGTCGACAGCCGGTATAAAATTTTGTCAAAAAGTATGATAAGTCCTGATCATATCTTAGGCAGATTGTCCCATCTCGGATGTATGCGGAGACAACAAGTGAGAGGAAATAAAGTAATTAGAGACGAAGAAGGCCTAAGAAATAAAGTCTTTGATACCAGCCGGACAACTTGTGCTGTAGCTGTTTCACCAGTCATGTGTACAGGTCTACCCAACGCTTATAGTACCAACGGTGTGTGGACATCATAACTCAAATCTAAGCTGGACTCGTATATAAGGGAGAAAGATAAATAAAAAGTAAAATTAAGTAAGTAGAATGTTAGAACATTAAGTGGTAGAAGTAGAGAATTAGTAGAAGTATTGAAGAGGAGAATAGTTAATATTAGTTGTGAGCAGGAAGCTTATTGAAAAGGAGAGAAAGCAAGGGAAATAGGTCAGGGTTATAACATAATATATTCAGGTATGACCAATACAAAGAATGGTGTAGAGATAATAATGAATGAGGAGATGAAAAGTAAAGTAGTAGAAGTAGTTAGAAAAAGTGACAGAATTAAAGTTGTAAAATTAATTTTTGAGGAAAAAATGTAGTCCATAGTACTTGTGGATACAGTGTGTCCATAACCGCTGATGTCCATAACGCGGTCGGCATGCTCAGCAAGCTCTGACACCGTCCGTATCAGCGATGACGATGTAAATCACAGTAGGTAATTTCTGAATCCAAAATGCTTTAAGGACTTTTTCACCAATACCCTGTGGTAGAACCGCTCTCACAAACCGTGACAAATGCGACGGGTGGCGTTCTTCGAGCCCACCGTGTTGTGTAGTCACACGGTAACGAATTGCTATTGAAACGGGATGCGTTACGATCAGCATCTTCTATCGTTTCGTATACACGACTCAGACCTAGTAAATCGCACACCATACGCACGTCATCAATGCCTAAAGCAGCCACGCGGTTACACGAACGGACACCCCAATGTTTGAATATAGTTTTGGTGTGAACAAATTACACGGGTGAAGCATATTTCCAAAATGACTGAAGCTCCATATGCCCCACACACGCGATGTTTGTTTGGCACACACTAGCTGTATTAAGTACTGACAGAACGGGGCGGTCGCCGACAACGACGTTGTCGAGGGACAATGAATCACGTACACGATTGGTATTACGGTCGGAAGTTTTTCTACTAATTAAAATGAATTGGGAATTTATAGGTATTCTAAATGAAAGATAATAATTTAAAATTTATATAGAACTTATATATAGTAGAATATTTATATATTTAGGTGTATAACTTTATACACCTAAGAGAACTCAAAATGTAATACGCGATTGCACACTACAGGATGACAAGGACAATTGATTTTTGGGAAATATACAACGATTAATTCTGGGTTATGCGCCGGTAACATTGTTTGGTGAATAACACCAGACAATTAATTACAACAGCGTTACACAAAATATAGAAATAAAAATAAAAATTATAATTTACAAGACGCAGTGCCGACTATCGCATTATACATACGTTAAAAAAATAGCACGAACGTGCCAATGTTATATAACATCAAACACTTTCTAAATTTAAAAATGATCCCCCTTAAAATTAGTTCTGATGAGGATACCCACAAATGAATGTCAAGTTTTTTAATTAATTTGTCTACAAATTGATAACGTAAATTAACAATTATCATTGACTATAATAAATGAAAAACTATAAGACTAGAATTTTATTCCAACTTCATGTCAAAACTCTTATCAATATTAATTTTGCCCTATCAAAATTTTAGTCTGGGACACAGTGTGTGGCATCAACACATGTTTTTTAACAATTTTTTATTTTTAATTCTATTAAAATACTACTTAACTTACCACCAAAAGGCATTCTTCCTGGTGGTCCACAACCACCGCTACTACAGGGACAACCACCACCACTACGACCACCTGGGCCACCACCACAGCCTCCACCACCGCCACAACCGCAACCTCTGCCATTACAGTTAGGAGCTAAAAATATATAAAAACAATTAATATGAATTATTAGAAATTAATGGAATCATAAATATCATAATATGTTATAACATATTATGTTTATTAAAATAATAAAACTAGTGTTTTTAATTAACATTTATAATTTTAATACTATAAGTTAGTAAAATGGGATTGCTCATTATTTTTTGACATCTTTCTGGTAATCATATCAGGACCATAAATATAGTTCATAAAGGGGAGTATGAATACATAAACTCCGACGATATATATTATATTATATTACAGTGAAACCTCCTTTCAACTTTTTTTCTTAAAACTACCACACATTTTTTAAAAATTAACAGATTAACATATTTTTTTTTTATAGAAACCTTAGATACTTAACTACGATTTGGTATATTTTTGTGAAAATTAGATCCTTTTTGCAATCCCCCCATGGGCAGGTCATGGGGGGATTGCAAAATAACAACAATTTCACAAAAAATTTATTTTATCAATTTAACTTTTAAAAATGCTCCGGAAATACTATCATTTTTATATCTATCTTAAATAAAATCTTATATAATATAATTAATTTGAAAACAAAAACGGTATCACAGGGGGTCGTGACATAGTTGGCACAAGTATAGATGATATCTGACTGTGATTAAAATAATCATCATAAAAAACGCTTCGATGCAAATCTGTAGATAGTGTTTAATTTTAAAAAATTAATGGATAATTCCAAAAGCAGAATGAACTCCTATTTCCTTATTTATATCATTATTACAACTTTTATGATTTATAAGTGTTATATATAAATGAATATTGATTATAGCAATTAAATATAATATGAAATTCTTCTTCTTCTTCCTCCTCGCCTTAATCCCAACTACTCGGCCACCCTTATCCTAAACTTCCACTTGACACGATCTCCACATCATCAACGCTCACATCAGCTGTCCTCATATCTCATTCAATAGTATCCCTCTGTCTCTTTTTTAGTCTTTCTCTACCTCTTCTTTCTTCAACTCACGCCTAATAACTTTACAATCTTTTATTCGCTTTACAAGCTCTCTCTTCCACATAAAATAATCAATTAAAAATATTCCTCCCATTCTTATAAGTTATATAATGTTCTTCCTTCTTTCTAAAATAAGTATTAACCACAGCAAGATCAAACGATACTGCGATATCCAGGATTCTTTCTCCAGCCCCATTATCTCCACTAAAACTATACCCTCCGTGTACTCTTTCATATCCTCTTCTCTCATTACCTACATCTCCATGCATATCTCCATCTGCCACCGCACCCTCATTGCCATGTACCCCTTGCATCACCTCATCTATCTTTCTCCAAAACACTTTCTTGTCTATTTCATCACATCCTACTTGCGGTGCATAGTCACTTTCAGTGACTTTCATAGTACATTCAGCGCTTTTTCCTTGAATATCAATTTTATGACTATAATTCTGTCACTTCTCCTAGCTACATCTACTACTTTACTTTTCATCACCTCATCCATTATTATCCCTACACCGTTCTTTGTACTAGATTTACCTGAGTATATTATTTTATAACCCTGACCTATTTCCCTCAATTTCTCTCCTTTCCACTTAGTTTCCTGTACTCAACAATTGTTAACTTTTCTCCTCTTCAATACTTCTACTGATTCTTTACTTCTACCATTTTATGTTCCAACATTCCAAGTACCTATTCTTATTTTGTATCTATTTTTCTCCCTTATACACGAGTTCAGCCTAGAGTTAAGTGGTGATGTCCCTACACCGTCGACACTACAAGCGTTGGGTAGACCTGCATACATGACTGATAAAACAGCTACCGCCCAAGTTGTCCGACTGGTATCAAACACTTTATTCCTTAGACCTTCTCCGTTTTTAACTACTAAATATAATATGAAATTGATATTTAATAATTAAGTACTATAATTTTTACGAAAAAATTATATAATAGTAATTACTTTTATAGAAAACGTGTTTAAAAATTGAAGGGCTTGATGCAATACTTAAAAAAAAAATTGCTTTTTACTTATGAATGTAAATATATTCTATATAGTTTTAATGTAATATACTTTTCTAAACCTATTTTTGCGCCAATTTCAAATTTGTAATTTTTTCTATTTTCTCTATCATTTTTGAGATTATTATTAATTTGTAAAAAAGAGAAAATATTTATGAAAAATTGATTTAGTGAAAACTGAGAATTTTTATGGACAGATATAAAAAAAACGCACAGCATCACAAAATCAATATCTTTTTAGTTTCCAATAGAAAAACCAAAAAAAAAAAAAACCAAAAAATTATATAATATACTTAATTAAGCGTGTTCTAAAAATTTATTATAATTGTAAAAATCAATTGTTAAATTCAGGTGAAACCCATAATCATTTTTTTTAGAAATGATTTATACAATAACAGCTAAATAACAATGTAAAATTATTCAATTTTCTAGTTAAGACCTATTATCCATATCAAACTTAATTCGACAGTATATATTAGGGTGGTCCTTAAAATACAAATTTTCAAAATTCGATTTACGCGCACCAAAAAATTGTTCTAATACATGTAAAAATAAACTGTGCAAAATTTGGTCCCGATAGGTTGACGTTAACACGTGCCGTAAGAGGGTTGAAAATTCGATCAAAAGGGTAGTTTTTCAGTTATTGTGCTTTATCTCAAAATATATGATTTTTACGTAAAAGTTTATAAGAAAGAAATTATACATATAATTATTTTACATAAAAAAGGTTATTAGCAAAAAACTCATAAGTCAAATATTTACCTCCTAAAAGACAAAAGTTCCATAAATATTATGTTTACCAGTAAAATTCATATATTTCGGTAATTTACGTATATACGACGAACCGTTCAAGTTATAAAAAAAATTTTTATGTAAAAGTTATTTGAAATTTAATTTTCTATAAGTTTTGTAGAAAAATAAAATTGTTTTACGTGTTTTCTGGCGAGATAATGAAGAAAACTTATAAATAACAATCATTTTTCTATGATAATTTAAAAAATAACGATTTTTTTTTTTTCAAACTCAAATAAAATAAGTAAACCAATAATGAAATGCTAAAAAAATTTGAAANAGTAAACCAATAATGAAATGCTAAAAAAAATATGAAAAATGATCTTAATGCTCATAAAATATTATAAAATTAAATAATATTAAAAATAATTCTTCTAGTAGTCACAATATAAAAAAAATTTTGTTTTTGATAGGATTATTAATTGTTATTATTCATCAATGAATTTTTAGTACAATCTCCAAATTGTGATCTATAATCATTAACGACTTGTAGTAGAAACTGTTTTTGTTCATCATCATTAGTTAATATGTCATTGTATTCTTGCATACGTTTTACACCTCTCTCTGCTATATCGTTTGTCACAAGAGGATTAGATAAAACTTTCAAACTATTTTGAAAATCAGGATTTTCAACCTAGCTATGAGGATGAGTTTCCAAAAAATCTATCAAGTTCTTTTTTTTTTTAAATAGTTTAGTATCATTTAGGTTTATTGTAATTTTTTTTATCTTGTTTTTGTGATGTCTCTCTTGATGCCTCAACCATTTTTAGTTTAATATCTGCCGGTACACTGTCCGGTAAATTTCTGTGTTGCAGCTTTAGATATAAAAGAATCAGGATAATTAATTAAAACTTTTAAGAAACATAAATCATTAAATGCTGATTGTATGGCAATAGATCCCTTAAACCAAGCCTTTACGTAAACTTTTACCAAAAATACACAAATATTACGTTATGCATGTTTTTCTCGTATTTTAAGCTGTTTTCTAAACATGTATATTTTTAACGAATAAATTGCTTTAGACATCCATCTAGGTTGATGAAAAACACTAGGGTAGTGAAATTTTACACCATTTAGGGGTGTTGCATCCATAAAAATAACACATAAATTCTTTGTAGTAATTTCTACATTGTTGAATTATTAATGTTTCCAATTAAATTTTTTTTACATTATTTTTAGTGTGTTCAACTGCATTTTTTATAATTATATCATTGATACCAATATCAAAATTCAACAAATCTAGACTAATCAAACATTCTTTAAATTTTTAAAAATTGATACATCCGGACCAGTTGTACATAAATTAAGTTTAACCTCGAAAACATTTTTTAGTACTAATTCCAAAATATGTCTACGACATGGTAAATACAACACATTACGATCTAGNGGTAAATACAACACATTACGCTCTAAGAGTTGTTTAAGCAATATACAAGCGTCATTTAAGCGACCTGTATTAGAAGCTGTTGTGTCACAACACAAGGCCTGTATTTTATTTTTTACACCCCAAACTTGTAATTAATCAAAAATTGCATTTACCTGATTCTCGCCAGAATCTCTCTCAATTTTTGGGAACCCAAGTAATTGACTTACTCCCTCAAATGATACCAAGATTGGCAATCGATCAACTTTAGCTCTATTTATAATGCCTGGAAGTAGTTTTCCATCCCAATGCAAGACAAGACTATTTTTATCCAGAAATTTAATTTTTTTTTTTAATTTCATTTACCTTTCTCTCACTAAAAAATAATCTTTCCCGTCGAATAGTTGATCAGTTGATTATTAACTTTGATACGTTATTACCTAATGCTTCAGCAGTAGAAACAATTAAATGCACAGCATCGCGGTCAGATATCTTGCATTGATCTAATGCGGAAAGTAATTTTGGAGTTATAAAAGTTATAAATCCTCGTGTTTTTGAAGAATATGATGAACCAGACAAATCATCTTCTGTTTCATATTCTGAGGAACTAAACAAATTTAACTCAACAACATTATCTAAACAAAAAATGATAAATGATAGAAAAATGATTGTTATTCATAAGTTTTCTTCATTACCTCGCCAGAAAACACGTAAAACAATTTTATTTTTCTACAAAACTTATAGAAAATTAAATTTCAAATAACTTTTACATAAAAATTTTTTTTATAACTAGAACGGTTCGTCGTATATACTTAAATTGCCGAAATATATGAATTTTACTGATAAACATAATATTTATGGAACTTTTGACTTTTAGGAGGTAAATATTTGACTTATGAGTTTATTGCTAATAATCTTTTTTATATAAAATAATTATATGTATAATTTCTTTCTTATAAACTTTTATGTAAAAATCATATATTTTGAGATAAAGCACAATAACTGAAAAACTACCATTTTGATCGAATTTTCAACCCTCTTGCGGCACATGTTAACGTCAACCTATCGGGACCAAATTTTGTACAGTTTATTTTTACATGTATTAGAACAATTTTTTGGTGCGCGTAAATCGAATTTTGAAAATTTGTATTTTAAGGACCACCCTAGGATATACTTTAAAAACATTAGAAATTAATGATTTTAATTGTCTATATGAAAATATTTACTTACGAATCATTTTATTTGATAAATGCGATATCATTTTCAAGTTTTGAAAAATATATTTTTAACTAAACACTAGATGTGATTATTTGACGTATTATTAAAGGAAACTGGGGAGCTGAGAAAAATGAATGGCAGACACAAAAAAAAACCCATATAATAGAATATTCTAATATGAATAAGAAATTCCATCTCACAAAGGGAGACCACAGTGGTGGGGTCCTTGATATACATTGAAGTTATACAATCTAACTGTGATAAAAATTAGACATTTGAATTTTATTTCCACTTTAATTAAGAAAAAAATGCAAAAAGTTAATTTGACTGATGGAGTTCAAACTTTGTACCCCGAGCGTAGAATATAGTAATATTTTCGATGCAGCCATCGTAAATTACATGAAAACTCAGCTAAAAATGGCAATTCAAAAATTCAAAGAAGTTTTTGTTAACTTAGATCAGCCAAAATAATCAAAATAAGTTTAAATTTATATCTAATGCAAGTTAGATTCATGCAAATTTTATGAAAATTGGCGGACTCATTACTATGGCAAACCCTTATAAGGTATTTTAAAATAAACAAAAAAAAGAAATTTTGAATACAAATATAGTATGCATATTAATTACGGCACCATTTGCACATAGGAAATAGGTTGTTGAGAAAATTTTTTTTTCTGGAACTTTGAGTATTTCAAAACAATTTCAAAGCTTAAATTAAAATAGTTAAATTTTTGTTCAAAACTTGCTCTTTTGAATTCTCCTCTAAATAAATACATTAAAAATATTAGAAATTAATCATTTAGATTGTTTGTATGGATAAAGCTGTTTAAGGTACTTGTTATTTGATTAAGGGATATTTTTCGATTTTTGAGAGTAATATATTCAACTAAATACGAATTTTAATAATGTCAAATGATTGAATCATTGAAAAAAGTAGGTTAATTGAGGGTTGCAAAAATAAACCGTAATCACAAAAAAAAAAACACAAAATAATATTAATATGAATAAGAAATTTCTTTGAATAAGGATTTTTATGTCACATTAAAAGAATAAATGCAAAGCTGAGAAGGTATTGGTTTTACTAAGATTTGTTTTTTTTGTCTGTTACAACTTTTTCTCAGCTCTCACTAAACCGATTTTGATAAACAATATGTCAAAAGATCACAAATTGTATCTTGTTAAAGACATTACCCTCAAAAATTGAAAAACTTCTTTCGTTCCCCGTAAATGGGGGAAACCTCCAAAATATTACAAATTTAAAAATCACTAATTTTTGAAATTTTTGAAATTTTTTTTTGTTTAATACTGTTATAACTTTTTTAAAAATAAACAAATCAATACAATTTTTGTTTATAGATGTATGATGTCTTTACCTTTCATTTGGTATTTTTATTATAAATCTGTTCCATTACCTGCCCACGGGGGAGGATTAAAAATTACTGTTCGACTTAACTTTTGAAAGTGTTCCGGAAAGTCTGACACTTTTATATATATCTTAAATTAAAGCTAATGTAATATACTTTATCATGGAAAAAAAAATTTCGGGCCTCATTTTGTCTTCACCGTGAAAATGGCTACCAAATGTTATTTTTGAGTGAAAATTCTCGATTTTGTATTTTGCATTTTTAACTTTATAATGCTTTAACTTATTGAAAAGTGTATGGATCAATACAATTTTTTTATGAGAAATAGTATTTATATCTCTCTTTAATTCGGCATACTTTATCTTAATCAGGATATAAATAAGGAAATAGCAGATCATGTAACTTTTGTAATAATCCACCAATTTTTTTATTTCTCATAAAAAAATTGTAATGATAAAAGTATATTACATTATCTTTAATTTAAGATATATATATATATAAGTGTCAGACTTTCCAAAACACTTTCAAAAGTTAATTTTTTTGTGAAAAAGTTGTCATTTTAAATCCCTCCTGTGGGCAGGTAAAGGGTCAAATTTATAAAAAAAAAATATATAAAATATAAAGACATCAAGCATCTAAAAAAAATAAAAAATTATTATTGATTTGTTCATTTTTGAAAAAGTTATGGCAGTATTAAACAAAAAAAAATTGAAAAAATTTCGAAAATTAGTGATTTTTAAATTAGTAATATTTTTGGAGATTTCCCCCATTTACGGGGAACGAAAGAAGTTTTTCAATTTTTGAGGGTAATGTCTTTAACTAGATACGATTTGTTATCTTTTGATGTATCGTTGAAAGAAATCGGTTCAGTGAGAGCTGAAAAAAGTGTTAACAGACACAAAAAAAATAATAATAAAAAAAAAAGAAACACATCATAGTAAAATCAATACCTTCTCAGCTTCGCATCAAGGCTAAAATTATATATTATATTTTTGAATCTAAGAATTACTAATCTAGATATAATTAAAGAAATAGAAGATGATGTTCCTTTTGTAATTATCTACCAATTTCATAGAATTAAATACTATTTACAGATTTGCATCGAAGCATTTTTAATGATAGTGATTTTAATCACTGTCAGATTAAATCTTTACTGGACCCAACTATGCCACGTCCCAAAGGGCTGTGACCCCACTGTGCTGGGTATTTTTTTTAAATATTAATGTATTCTTTGACTACGTTAATGTTATATTATTATTATTTTTATAATAATAAAAATTTAATTTTCCTTTTTTTAATTTTAAAGTAATTTTTTATAGCTTTTCTTACAAAAAAATTAATGGGTTTTAGGACGAGTTATTATTGAGACAGTTATTTTAATATATAAAGAGGGTACGTAGGCGAGAGTAGCCTATATTAGTGTACTTATACTCCTCCGGTATTCCATATCCCTCTATTTATTGAAATGGTTCCAACTTGTAATAAAAATAAGTCCAAAAATTAATTTACTAATCAAATTATTCAATTAGTAAATAAATATCGCAAAAGGAATTTATCACTAAACTTTTTACCTACACCTTTTATTCAGTTTTATTTTTTAAACTATTGTTTTTTTTTTTTTTTTGATATACAAATTAATAAAAATATATTACCGTGGAAAATAACAAAACAAAATATGAACAACGCTAAATAATTCTGTGAAATAATACAAAATATAACTATAAAAATTAAATATAAATATAACATAAAAATATACAAACCATTTTAAAGTTTCTTGGATATAATACTTATGCAATTATCTTCCAACAAATATTGTACATTAAAATAAAACCTTCATGGAAAATTCTTACTTAAGTAAAAATTGATAAGTAAATAACATAAATTAGAGTATTTATGCTCAAAAAATTGAACAAATACATTACTTCTGATATTTTTAAACTTTAGGTGTGTAATATCTCAATAACAGAAATACCTGTTATTTGATCTACTTAAGTTAATACTAATAAGAACATAAATAATTAAAAATATCTGTCACACGATTAACTATTTTTCAAAATTACGTATTCAATTTATTTTTTTAATTTCGATGCGTAGCGGAAAAACTATTGACTTTACTTTGCAGTGTTATTTATTTATTTTTTGTCACTTTACTAAGTTATTTTACTCTTACTAGACCGAGTTTGCTTAACGTCAAAAGATATCTTAACAAAACTATTAGCCTCATCATTTAAAAAGTCCATTCAATTCCCGTAAATAAAAGAAATGTTCCAAATAAGTACATTTATAAATCTGTCAATGTTAGTATTATTTTTCATCATATATTGAAATAACTTTTTGCAAGCTATAATAAACAAACGTTTGTTGATAATACTTTATACATTTGCATTTCAATGAAAATCCAATCATTAATCAAGATACTGTGGGGACTTAAAGAAGTTAACAAAATTTTTTTTTCAATTTTTGATAATGATAAAAAAAAATAATGTCATTAAACTAAAACAAATACAATACAAATACAAATAAAATGAAAAATAAAAATACAGCTGAAATCTTAATTTCTAGTTATTAGTTATTAAAAACAAAAATTATACAATTTTTAATAAAAATCGTCAAATTTGTAATATTTTGCTAATTTAGGAAGTATTCATATGCAATAATATTCAAATACCGTTTTATTTTTCAAGACTATAAAACAAGTACAATATGTATTTAAAAAAAAAACATATTATGACAACTAAATCGAAACAAAAATAAATCGAAAATATTATTTCCAAACAATTTTTTTTAAATCTATTGTAAAACTTATAAAATAATAAGTAATTTCAAATATTAGCTCTCGTTATTTTATAGATAGAAATAAATCTTTTTTACTTTGTTAAGTCATAAATTTAATAAACAACAAGATCAGGATATCTTTTTAATTTTGTATTTGGAAAATTAATTTGAAAAATTTGTGAAAAAAATTACTAAAAATAAATTTATCCCTTTTTTAAAGTTAGCGATTTATATAATAAAAAAGTAATCAAAATTTATAATAACTTTAAAAAATACTCATAAATTAATAACTAAAGAACACAAAGCTACGATTGTGTTAGAGAGGGAGGAAAACCTAAATAGTGCAGCATAATAGATAAAAACATACGTGTTTTTAGTAGACGGCATCCTTATTAAGTCGTATTTGATAAGTATTACCAATTCATAATATGACAGGATATACAGTTAATCGTATAACTTGAAACATCAAAGTTTGTCGATATACGACATGATAATGTTATAATCAAGTTTTTCTAATCATGATTATTTATTTTTTGATAACAAACTTTATTACTTTTTTGTATAAAAAGAGGTTATACAATTAAAACATTTCTGAAAAATATTTCCAACTCTCAAAATGATTGTTATAATAAAATTTAGTTTATTAGTAATTAATAACTAAATGAAAAAATACAGAGCAATCGATAAAATAGAAAGTAATTGATACTATTAGTATTATTGATACTATTGACAATTTTAAAATTTTGTAAAGAAAAAATTGTTTGATTCAAAAAACTACAATCATTTTTTTAAATTTTAATTTTAATTTGTAAAGCATAATAAGCGTTCAAGTATTTTACAATAGTAAATTCAATCACTGTCAGATATCATTTAATATTAATTTTAAAAAATGTCTCAAATCCACCACGCTGGAAATCAATTGTACTTGACATTTTTATTTATGTTATTTAACAGTAAAAACCCTAATATTTTTATACAATAAATTTATATTTGATAAAATGTTCAAAAACAAAAATTGAGCTCTATACATTTATTTATATTTTTTTATATTTCAATTTTCCAACTGCAGCACTAATTAATAATTTTTATAAAACAATAATTGTTTTAGTTTGTATTTTATTTAATTCATTTTTTTCTTTTAAGTTATGTTAATTTTAACTTGTAAATTCACGTTGTTGACAATATTTATATTTATTAGATAATTCAGTTGTTGTTAGTTATGAAAAAATGATATTTCTACCACAATTTGAATATTATTTATAATCATTACTTTTAAATTTAGTACAAATAGCGTGTTATACTTTTTATTTTTAGGCTGTGGCATAACCTTAAATGGTAAAATATTAAAATTGAATTTCTGCTGTTTACCTCACAAAACGTTATTGAATAAATTTAATAACATACTAATTTGTTGTTACGAAATGACTTTAAAATAAATATATAGTTCTTTTAACATCATACATTAACAATTAATTGATGTCAGTGGCGTATTTTGGGGGGGTGTCCTCCATGTCTGGACACCACCCGACTTAAAAAAAATGCCTAATATATTGGTATTAACTTTTTTTATAATATACTATATTTATTTACTATAAAATAAATGGTATTTTAAACAAATAACAAAATTGAAGACAATTTGATAGGATTCGACGACACGTATTTAACTACATTTTATCAGAGATTTCTAGAAATTATTTGGATTTCATTGGGTCATTTAGATAACAAAAATACCTGTAGTAAAAATATAACAACAACGGAAATATTCTGAACTTGTAGTTCATTTTTAAATTTATTTTATAGTTTATCAGTTTAGAGAATTATAAACAAATAAGTTTAGTTACCCCTATTCAATATACCACATTCATAAAAAATACAGAAAAGAATTTTTTATAATTAAAATAGTATTTAAAAAATAAACAAAAGTTATGAAATTCTTTATGAATCGTCATTTAGTAAAATTAAAATTAAGTTGTTAAGATAGTAGATACACTTGTTAATTTAAAAATTTATAATTGGCTGACTTTTTAACTTAATTGTATCCATAACTGTATAATATACAGTGTATATTATAATATTTGTATATTCACATAACAAGAACATAAAATTATTTCTGTTAAGATAAATTTATATTAAATTTGAATTTCTTTAATGAAATAATGTTACAAATAAAAATAAGATTAAAATAAAACAACAAAACAACAATTAAACATAGAAAAAGTAAAAAAAAATGTTTGGTGGTATAAAAATAAAAATTTTAATTTATAGTGAATATTAAGAAAATTGATATAAAATACAAAAATAAAATTTCATTCATAAAAATATTAATTGAATAGCTCGCCAGCAATAATTTCATTTTTGTGTCTTAATCTTATAAAAGGCATAAAATTTGCATTTATTGGTGTTGTATCTCCTCGAGACATTTTTTCTGCCAGCTCAACAGTAAATGGCCCACAATCATGTCCATTGGTTTGGCGAGATGTCTCGCCTATTTGTAATGTCCATGTAGAAGCTTTTCCTTTTTTGTCCATCTCCCATTCAATTAAGAAATTTTTTAATACCATTGGATAAGGGACCATTATACGACTTAAAACTATCATATGATGTCACAGTCTTTTCAGGTATATTAACTACTGTCAATATCCAATGACTCCCATATACATTCATGGGCACAAAAAGTAATTTTATTGTGTGAATATCTTTTTTTATCCATCTTCTTACAGCTGGATAGCCTCCTCGAAGATACGCTACAATAAAATCAGTGACAACTGCATAAACTTCACCTTCTGACCGTTTTACTATCATTTTAATGTACTCATTAATTGTGTCTGAAGTATACCATGATGTGGGCGATTTAAATGAAGGTGCATTATACTGATCAAGAGATTTTGTGTTCTGATCTTGCATTACTTCTGCAAGTGTAACCATATTTAAACATTTTTCATAAAATTAATTAAAGACTTTGTTGAACAGTTTACAATTAGTTAGGTTTATTTAAAGTTTTGGAATATGAAATTAAACACGTATAATTACTATTGTTTAAAACGTCCATGGACCGACCCCCTTAATAACAATTCTCTGCAGAGGTTATATTAATTTAACACGTATTATAATTATTAATTATGTATAATAAATAATCTTTTTTTATTTTATTTTACATAAAATAAATAGATTAAATAACTAATTACATTTTTCTTTCTCTGGTACTTTTATTACTTCAATAGTGGACAGAGCAAGTAAATTTACGACATTCGGCGTAATTAAGGTCAAAGAATTCGAACTAACTTTTGGCTCTAAAATAATTTATGTTTTAAAATATTACATATTTGTTTCAAAAATCAAAACGTTTATTATATTATTTTTTAAAAATGAATTATATTTTAAAAGTTGTATACTTTTTATGACTTTTTCATCTTCTTCTGATGAATTTCTTTTTAAATTTGGTCGAGCAGTAGTATTAGAAGATATCTCAAAAAGTTGTTTTTTTATTTCGGATTTGCGTTCCAAATTTTTCTTATGAAAACTCTTAACAGATCATAAAAATATATTTAATTATATGATAAATTTCTTTAAGAAATCTGCTTTAAGTCCAAAAAATGGTTTAGGGTATACCCTAAAATCTTTTTATTGAAATAAAGCATAATAAAATATACCTTTTCTAACAAATCAGCTGATATTAATAGCGGATTGTCTTTTGAAATTGCTATATTTTTTTTTTCTGTTGAATTTAAAATTTCATTTTTATATTTTTCAGATTTTTCATTCTGAAAAAGTGTTCCGAATTCTCTTTGCTGCATCATATTCTAGGCAACCAAAGAGATATTTAAATAAACAAATAAACTATACTTAATATTATATTATTATCTTCGATAAAAATTGAATTTCCCATAAAAATCTAATAGAAAAAATAGCAGAATAATATTAAACATTATGTTATTGCATTTATATTAAAGGGATTGATAGTTTATTTTATATTTTTGAATCAGACAAACCCCAATAACATAGCTAAATCGAATAAATATATTAATATAATTATAGTTACCAATTTTTCTGGAATAATTTTATCATTTTTATTCGTTTTTCGATACGTGCTTTTTTTTGGAATAATGGAATTTTTTATAGGATAAATATTTTTATTAATAATTGCTGCAAATTGAATTTAATTTTAATAATTATTAATTAAATAATCAATTTCGAAAAAGGTTTTTAATATTGAAATAGTTAAATTAAAGTAAAGCGACTGAATTATTGTTATATATGAATAAGAGAACTTATTATTAATTTTTCTTATATTTTATATTAAAAAACTTTTTCTCTATTCGAAATAGTTAGTTTAATTATTAATCTTAATAGTGTTTACAGATAATTCTTCCATCTTAATTGACCTTTTTGATATTTGTTCTTTATTTGTATTATTTAAAACATAATTGGAATGCATGAAACGAAGATTCCATATTTCTTTAACTCTGCGTATAACCTTATGTAAGTTTGATTCATTTGTTTGACCAAAAATATTTTTTTCACTTGCCATATCAATAACTAATTAAATAAATCTTAATAATTACACAAGACGATAGTTTATTTTTCACGGGAAAAAACGAAGTGAACTGAAATGTCGATAAAATCAACATTTACATCTAATTGTCAAGGAAACTTAATTGTAAAAATTCATTAAAAAAATGTATAAGCCAATTATAAATAAATTAAGTATATACAATACTTATTTATTTTAATTGTATTATTGGTCAAAGACTACAATATTTTAAGAATTTATTACAGAGAATTATCAAAAAAAAAATATATTGATATATATTTTAAAGATATTTTGAAGAAAAACCTTTTATATTTGTTTGTTTATTTATTACATTAGTTTACAAATGATAGAGATTTTTTTTATAAAAGTTCAAGTGGAATAAATTTGATATCGGTTAACAGAATATTTATGCATATAAAATTTAATCTGTATGAAATAAAATATCAACGTTTGGATTTATTCTCTTGCAACTATTAAAAATTTTGCCCATGTGAAATTGCTATTTCCATTTAGTTATTAACAAAAAACATCATGCCATGCGATTATAATCAACATAAAAATTTATTAAGTTGAATATATAATATAGTTTAACAATTTAATTAATAATTTAATTAATGACATAATAATTCTGATAAAAGAAAATAACAGGAGATTTGAATTAATTTTAACGATTTTAACAAATCGAAAATAACTTTAGGGTTTAACTACCTTATAGGTTTAATTATTATTTGCATTTTTAATCTTATTATTATTTTTTTTTTTTTTGACAATAACGGCTATCTTTGTAACTTCAATATATATCAAGAAAATGACAAGTTATCCAAGAAAATCAAGGAAATTTTAGAGAAATATTAAGATACAGAGCCCAAGGAAATGACCGTTTAAAATCATTTTTGGAAGCTGAAGAAAGAATAAAATATACATGTGAAACACTTCAAAATGAAATAATTGAATCCTGTAATAAAATTATTTTAAATAAAATCGTAACAAACATAAATGCCCAAAGATGTTTCAAAATACTTGCTGATGAAACGGCCGACATTGGTGGAAGCGAACAAGTAACTTTGTGTGTTCGATATTTAGATGTTGAAAATATGATTACCAAGGAAGAATTCTTCAGTTTGTGCCTACAACAGATACTACTGGAAAAGGTTTATATATTATTATTCAAAGTTTACATTCATTTGGTGTAGAAACAAAATACCTTAGAGGACAGTGTTATGATGGATGTGCTTCTATGTCTGGTCAATTTAACGGAGCTCAATCTCTTATTCACCAAAGTTATCCGCTTGCGACGTTTGTTCATTGTGCTGTTCATGTTTTAAACCTTGCTATTTCTTATTCATCTTCTATACAAGAAACACGAAATTGATTAGGAACAACATCTAAAGTTAGAGATTTTTTCATATACCCAAAGCGAAAAGATGTGTTGATAAGTCAAATCGAAGAAAGTCAAAAATGTATAACTAAAAAATCATTAAAAAATTATATGCGGCTAAATGAGTTGAACGTTTTTATGCTGTCAATGATTTTCTTGAGCTTTTTGTATACCTAATTGAATCGTTATTTATAATCTCGAAGTGGAATGACACTGAAACATCATCAAAAGCAAGTAATTTACGAACATCAATACTGAAAGGAGATTTTATTATTTGTTTACTTATTATAAATAAAGTATTTAGTTATGAGTTACTTTGTTTAAAACAACTTCAAAGAAATTAGCAGGTACACAGCATTGTTATTATCAATGGTAGTAAGGCACATTGTTGTGAGTTTATAAATACACTAACTGACAATACAGAAAGTATATCTATGATAGTCATAATTGATAATAAACAATCCGTGACTGCGACATTGATATCATATAAACCATTTAGCTACCTGTATTTGTAATCATATCATCATGTGTATTATACATGTATATTAACTCAAAAATTTGAAACTTTAAATGTTTATATCTAATAAACTAATAAAGTTATATTAAAAATTCAAATGCCATTTACTATTTAATTAAAAATCCAAACATTTTATTATATTCAAAATATGTGTTCCCATTTAAAAGACAAAAAGACAAAGTTGACACCCTTACAAGGCATAAGGGATGAACATAAAAAGTTTTAAATAGTTAATAATTTAAGAATAATGTGTAACTAAAGAAAACCAAAAATAATGTTTAAATTATATTTATTCTACAAGTAAATGAGTGGGTTATGATAAAAAAATCAGTCTGTATACTGTAATATAGTTTATCATTTGTAAAGCTGGAAGTAAAACATTTTTGTAATGTTTCGTTTAATTGTAATTTCCTGATCTATTATTACTAGACCAGGAATTAAATATTTATAAACATTTTTGAAAACGATAGTATTATTAATTTTGCAAAAAGAAGAAAAACAAAATATTTTAGTATATAAGACGAAATGGAATGAATCGTAGAGGAGAGAGGACCTCAGGAGCACCGAAGGTAATCTCTTTTCGCGCGGTACGTTTATGACATTCAGTTTTCATTTTGTGTATTGTTTTATTGTGTTTTTAGTGTATAATTATTTTGTATGCTTTGCATTGTTTAATTATATCTATAATAAATACATTTGAGTTATTATTAAACTTTTATTACTTTAAGTTAAGACACTAGGGTTGTTTCTTTTAAGATAAAACAGTACCAAAATTTAAATTTCAAATTATTTGTCAATTCCTAAAATAGTAATTAGAAAAATAGTAAGTTTTTTTTATGTCAGTAAACATTTCTATAATTTTCGTTTGTGAGGTTCATTAAAAGTTGGACACCACCCGAGAAATCATTCAAAATACGCCACTGATTGATGTTTATAATTAAAGTATTAAACAGTAAGAAAGAATTTAATGTCATTTTAGCTTTGATGCGTACCTGAAAAACTATTGGTTTTTATTTGTGCTATTATTATTTATTGTATAAACTATACACCGTTACTCAACTCCTAGACCGATTTTAATAAACAATACGTCTCACAAAACGTATCTAATTGAAATTATCAACGTCATAATTTAAAAAATTCTATTTAACTCCTGTAATAAAAGGAAATTTTTATAATAAAAATTTCTTATAACCAACCTCAAATTAAATTTAACATAATGTACTTTAAGACGAAATATGTAAAACTATGCGAAATTTTGATTTCCACGATTTGGCTGATTCAGATGTGTTGTGAATAGCAACGAAATATCAACATCATTCAAAACTAATTTATATTTAAGGTTTTTTTGTGTACTATACAATTAAAAGAAAATACACGTTCCGACGACTTCTGTATCATATTTATATTACAATAATTGTTCAGGGGACATTTGAATGAATAGGTACCACGTGAAAAATATTAGTTATAATATTAATAATTATTCAGGATGAATAAAATTTTGTCTGATTAACGAAAAACGGTAAAAAATTATGATAAAATAAATATTACAACAAACATAATGTTTGACGATAATATTTACAAAATTTTTGAACAAAAAGATAGAAAACGTTTGTCAACAATACAATATAAGTTGTAATTTATTCTTATAAAAGTACTGTTACTTTATAAAAAAATATTTCTTTTTGTTTATTGTTTATGTAATTTTTTTAATTCATTATTTTACATTATTGTACATCATTATTATAAATTTAATACATATACAACATTAGGGTCGAAAATTATTGGGTTGCGGAGGGTAATACAACCAACTGTAAAAACTATTTAAATAAATATAGTATGCAATTTAGATTCAATTTAAATTGCTTATAATCAAAATAAAGTATTACATAAATGTAATAAATTTAATTTATACGATGAGTAGTAAATCAGTAAATTTGAGTATAACACTCCCTAAAAATTGATATTTTAAATTTCAATATACATAATGATTAATTTATATATTAAAAATAATAATTTTTAATGTTTTGGCTTATTCAAGTAGAATTTATTTCTTGATTTAATCAAGAAATAAATTAATTTTCATTGATTTTGGTTAAATATTTTATACCATATACCTTATAAAGTTATCAACTTTAATTTTTTTTATTGGTAACATACATGTTTTATTGGATCCAAAACATCCAGCAACATAGTTAAAGATAAACATTGCAAAATTCTGTTTGGAAATAAAAAGATAGTATAGAGGTGGAAAATATATATGGAAGAATTATATGAGAGAAAAGAGGAGATCGAAAATGAAGAGGAATATATAGAAAATCAAATAGATGTAAAAGAAGATAGAAAAGGACCCGAAATACTAATAAGTGAATTCGAGATGTCTTTAGGAGAACTGAGTGACAACAAAGAAACAGGAATTGACGACATCTCGGCTAAACTACTGAAAAATATAGGAGAAAAGACAAAACATCAATTGTTTAAAATCATTAAAGATAACTATAACAGTGGAAATCTACCATTGGATTTTGTCAAATGTAGAACTATAACAATTCCGAAGAAAAGCAATGCAACGGAATGTAGAAACATTATAGCACAGTTTATATTTATGAAAGAACGAGAAACAAGAAAAGCGATATTAGCACTGAGACAGATCCTTGACAGATGAATTACACTGAATAGAAATACTATAGCAACATTCATAGATCTAGAGAAGGCTTTCGATAAAGTGGATTGGCAAATCTTATTCAAGATATTAAGAGAAAAAGGAATTGTTTGCAAAGATAGACGGCTCATCTTCAACTTATATAAAGATCAAACAACAGAAATTAATGTATATGGATCGGTAAAAGAAGCAAGAAAAAGGAGAGGAATGAGACAAGGATGCCCCTTATCTATCCAATATTTTCGTTGAAATGAGAATAGATATAATGAAAACCAAG